GTAAGAGAAATATAATTATTAGGTATGCAAATGGAAGTTTCTGCCACTATATGACCTTACATATTTGTTTGAGAATTAAGGAAAGAAGGTAAACTATATTTTAAATATTACATCCTGCAAAGAGAAAAGTTCAGAAGGTAGGGTAATTTGGGGAAAAGGTTGATAAATTTGCTCATAGATATATCGAGATTGTATTAGTGATGGTACAGGCATCTATAAAGCAGTGTACACAAATCTCAGGAACTAGTTTGAGACTGGATGTTGAGATACAGAGCTGTCAGCATAGTAAGTGGATGGGGCAGAAGCTTAACTGCTGTTGCTGCAAAAATATGGAAGTGATCTCTCTGATTGTTCACTCCAACATACACTAAAGGTAGCCAAGTATTTTAGGCTGTATTTTGCAGAAGCTAGAGAGATTGTTCTAAGTCCACATACCACTAATGGCGTCAGAAGTTGCACTGTAGTTGGTGGTGGTTCATGATTAGGAAATCACGTATCCTCACACTTCTAGTTCAGCCTTCAATGAACTCAGGCAACTGCATTTCTCAAGTCCCTGGGCCAGTCAATCCACAACATCAAATAGTGTGTCCTTCCAGACTTCTTTTAGGGCCTTTCTTCTCTTGACTCAATGAGCCCTCCCACATTACTAAGGCAGAGATATTTTACACTTCTCATTCTAAAAAGTATCTGTATTTTCTTTATTTTTCTTACCTAAGGATTTTTTTTTTTCTCAAGCAACTTTATACATTAGCTAATGCTTTATACAACAACTTAAGGTTTTTGCATGTCCAGAGGGACTGGTAGAAATAGGAAACCCCTTTAATACTAGGTGATCCCAAGTCCTTGTCATTAAGAAATGTAATAACCACCAGGACTGTTCTGGATTGTCAGTCTAAACCTCGTCTTTGCCAAAGCATCCCATGTCTTCTCAAGTCAATACCTTTCTGCAAACATACCTTGACCTCCTTCATAACAACTTCTTAGTTTCTTCTTCAATATTTATTATTTTAGTTGCAAGTTTTAAAAAATTGTTTATGTAATGTATTTCCTGAAATAGTATGTCACTTGCAGGTGCTCAAGAATAATTGCCAAATGCATAAATGAATAAATGGAAGACATAAGGAAATTATAACATCATAAATTACCATATATATGTATAAATATATGCTATTTAGTGAGATCTAAGTGGGAATTATAGTTATTAACAAATACACACAGTTTAGAAGGGGGGCCAGACGTGGTGTGTGGTTCAAGCCTGTAATCCTAATACTTTGAGAGGCTGAGGCAGGAGAATTGCTTGAGCCTAGGAGTTGGGGACCAGCCCTGGAGGCATAGTGAGACCGTGTCTCTACAAAAAACACAAAAATTAGCTTGGCACATGGCCCACGTGTGTAGACCTTGCTCCTTGGGAGGCTGAGATGGGAGGATCACTTGAGCCTGAGAGGTTGAGGCTGTAGTGAGCTCATGGTTGCACCACTATACTCCAGCCTGGCCTACAGAGTAGCTTTTGTCTAAATAAATAAATAAATAAATAAATAAATAAATAAATAAATCTACTAGGGGAAGCTGCAGAATTTATAATTCAGAAATGATAAATATTTGAATGATAGAAACTTTTGTGGCCCATGTTTTTTCAAAACAGATAGAGGCCTAGGTTATAACTAGATCCCTAAATTATTTGTGGTTTTCTGTGAGGCAAATAGTGGTTGGAGACATTTAGCATATTAAATAAATTCTCCACTTTAAAATGTTTTTTATTCTAATGCTAGGATCTTTGAGACTATTGATAATAGAGGCAGGTGTTTTAGTTATTGACTTTAGCCCTGTGGGGAATTTCATGAATTCATTTAGACCGATGTCTGTCAAGTTCAAGGCCTTTTTGCTTTTAAGAATATAGACATTTATTTTTTCATGAATATTCAAACATTATCTCAGTTATTAACTTAGAGATTTGACAAAGAACAATTCAGACTTTAATATTGGCTCAATTGATGCATGAATGGGTTATAATCTCATTAAGTTACAATCCTCTTATCAAACATTAATATCAGCTATCATATTGCCATTGAATATTACTTATATAGAAGTGTATTTTATATATGTATATTGGTTGCATACATATATATATGTAGTATGTATGTACATGTATATATACATATATATACATAGATACACACATAATCCTGTTCTAAGTAAACATATTCCACCCTGTATCTCACAGTAAATGCAGCTACGAAACCTGGATAGAGTGGAGCCATCAGAACTCTGAAAAGTAAATATTAGCAGGTAGTTTAGTGAAGAAGAGTACTACAAAGTATCTCCAAACGTGTGATGAGTTTACCATTATTTTCCCTCTACTGTCCCCTGTCCTGGAGTAATAATTAGAAAAACATTAGCATAATAAATCCAAAGCAAGATGAAGAAATAAAACAATAAATATAAGAGCAAAAAACAATGCATTTCAAAACAAATTATACAGAAATCAATAAAATTAAATGCTTGTTTTTTTGAACAGACCTAAATATTGATAAACCTCTACCAACACTGAAAAAGGAAAAAAAAAAAAAAACAGAAAAAATGATAAATATTAAGAACAAAAGAGGAGATGTTACAGACCCTGCAAACATAAAAAACAGAATAAGAAAATACTATAAACACGTCTACTGACATAAAGTTTATAATTTCAATGAAATTGGACAATTTGGAATAAATGGATCAATTATTCAAAAAGTGTTAACTCTCAAAACTCAACATGAAATAGATAGCCTAAATAATCCCATAACTATTAAATAAATTATAATTTTAGTTTAAAACTTTCTGAAAATGGAAATATTTGAGCCCAGATCACTTCAGTGACAAATTTTTACCAAAGACTTAAAGAAGAATTACCAATTCTACACAGTATTGTTCAGGAAATACAAGAAGAGGGAATGCATCCCAACATTTTTACACAGCCTTATTCTTACTACCAAAACCAGGTAGATGTAGTACAAGAAAAAAAAACTTTGATCAAGACTTTCATGCAAATATTTTCCACAGAACATTTAGATAACTCAATCAAGCAATATATAAAAGAATAATTCACCATGATAAAGTAGGGTTTATCCCAGAAGCATAAGATTGGTTTAATATTCAAAAGTTCATCAATATAATTCATCATATTAAAAAATTAAAGAAGAAAAAACACACTGTCAGATAAATTGAAAAAAATGGGGGAAGCTGGCTCTCCTGCCATGAGGACACTCAGGCAGTGCTGTGAAGAGGAGTCCATTTGGCAGCACCAGCTTGCCATCCATGCCATGCACATGCCACCAATGTGAATAAGACACTTCGAAACTGGATCCTCCAATCCCAGTCAAATCATCAAATCACGGTTGACCCAGCCAACATTGACTACAACCTCCTGTGAGATTAAGAGCTAAAACTGCCCTACAAACACACTTTCAAATTTCTGACTCAAACAAAATAAGATATATTATTATTGTTTGATGTCACTAAGTTTGATATATTACGATATAATATGCATATATACAGGAGTAATAATAATGAGGGCTCACAGTACATAAATTGGTAAGAGAGATGTGAGGAAATAAAGGCAAACTGATTTTAAGAAAATGTTGCTAGTGTCAATAAATTGTAGATCCCTGTCAGGATGGAGAATTGCTGGAATAGGAGGTGGTGAACAGAGAGTAAGATGCTTGAAGTAGAGTTTCCAACAGTAATCCGTATATTAGAGCTGACAAGTCAAGGGTATGTTCATAAGAATCCATGACAACTGGAGTAAAGGAGCAAATCAGGAATCAAGAAGATGAAGAACATGAAAGGCCATTATGTTTAATGGATCATGAGTGTAGTTGAAGCAGTTACTAATCATCATGTCTAAAGTGGGTGTATGCTTTTTTTTCCTGTTTGTTCTTTTGTTCGTTTGTTTGTTTAATTGTTTGTTTTGAAATGAGAGCCATCTCACCCAACCAGAAAGACTGTGAGAGGAACCTGAAGATGATCATCATGAGGGGAGGGTGAATTTTGTGTATAAAACAAATAATAACATAGACAAAAATACAAGTGGAGCAGTAATTTTTCACTGCTGAAAAAATATTTGGATTACAGATATTTCGAGAAAAGGCTTTTACATGCAATAGCCATGCAATCTCAGGGGTTCTACTTTGAAACATGTTTTTAGAATCCTCGTCAAGACCACTGAGTAAGATTTTAAAAAAAAAAAAGAAAAAGGGTTAATAACAGGTTGGTGCTGTCAGAACAAAAGATATTACTAAGTATATGCAAATGGGCAAGATGTTTACTTGTTTCATTTTAGAAGGGTCCATAGTCGTGAGCAGGGTTACCAAATGTATTGTAAATGATTTACAGGAGTCATAATAATAATAATGAATTTAGCCAGGGATGGTGGCTCACGCCTATAATCCTAGCATATTAGGAGTCTGAGACAGAAGGGTCACTTGAGCCCAGGAATTCAAGACCAGCCTGAGGAACATAGCAAGACCCTGCATCTACAAATAATAATAATAATAATAATAATAATAATAAAATGGCCAAATATGGTGTTGCATGCCTCTAGTCCTAGCTACTCAGGAAGCTGAGGTGTGAGAATCCCTTAAGCCCGGGAGTTTGAGGTTACAGTGATCCACTCCACCCCAGCCTGGGTGACAGCAAGACCCTGTATCAAAAATAAATAAATAATAATAGTAATAATAATGAACTTGTAGTTCTAATGACATATTCAAAGCCATTGTGAAGATCACTGTGGTGTTCATTTAGTACTGTCTGACAGAAAAGCAAATATATTAGTGAGACACAGGTTATAAACCATCTAATACGTGGGTAGAGTTTTAAACAAGGCATGCATTTATGTGATGAATATGACAGATCAGAGAGTCAGTAGGATTTAGTGATGAGCTACATAAATAATGAAATCGTTTTAGCAAATTATAATCAAACATGCATGTTGAAGGCTTTTCTTTTCTTCAATGTTCAATTAGGTACTCAATTGACAGAAACACAGACTTGGAGAGATACTTCAATATTGATGCCAACAGTGGGGTCATCACAACTGCCAAGTCTTTGGATCGAGAGACAAATGCTGTTCACAATATCACAGTACTTGCAATGGAAAGCCGTAAGTTGTGAGGCTTAAAACTAAATTAAGATGGAGGACAGTGAGTGGAGAATCGATTGTCATGAGGTTGTAAATTCAACTTAATTAAAATAGTTCCTTATATGAATTGAACGAAAACTTGAGAACACCAAATTTCTAAGCTGTGAAATATACTTATCTTCACTGTCTTTGTATGCTAATAATTACAAAATTTATGAAAACCAAGGACTAAAAAACAGTGGGCCTATATTACCTTCACAGGATTTCTTGTTTTCTGATCACAATTCATACATCATGTTAATGCTGTTATGGAGTTAGTGAAATAGCTTATAAAAATTAGTACATTGATCTATAACCAAGACATCTGGATTTGAATATTCTGATATTAACTAAGTTTAGTCCCTCATAAAAAATAAAATAAGTAATAAAATAAAAACTATTGAAAAATGAATGCATATTTGCATGTATATATGTATATGATATTTGTGTATTTTAATATGTATGCATTTATAATACATGTGTTGATAATACAAATGTATAGTCATGCAAATATGAGTTCTAACATCAAAGAATATTGAAATTCATGGTTTACCATTTATTCTTCTTTCAACAATTTTCTCATCAGGGACTAAAAAACTACAAGTACACATATAGACTATAAATATACATTTATATGTATACATGTATGTCCAAATACACACACATATAATCATGTATATGTATATATTTGGGTATACATATGTATGTATACATACACATATATGTATACACATGTATGTATGTGTATATATACACACATATATACATATATACATACATATGAATGTATGTGAGTGTGTATTTGGATCATATTTTCAATTTTCTATAGGTCCTTTTAAGTAATACAGCATTATGATTCTAGATTTCATTCTCAGCTTAGTCATTTTATTATTAGAATTGTGCTTTAGAGGGGCAAAGCGTAAATGATAAGACACTGTCTTATTTATTAGAGAATCCATCTCAAGTAGGAAGAGGCTATGTGGCCATCACTATTCTTGACATCAATGATAACGCCCCTGAATTTGCCATGGACTATGAGACCACCGTCTGTGAAAATGCCCAGCCAGGGCAGGTAAGAGTCTTCAGAACACTTTGCTTCTAATTTGTGGTTTCTTAAAAAATATCCAGCAGCAGTTGCCTTTGAAATTCTTCCAGCTTTAAGATAAAACATAATCAGCTTGTTTCAGCAAAACTAACACTTTGATGTGTAGCATGAACTAATATTAAAGGAACCTTCAAATTCCAGCTTAATTGGGGTGATGAAAATTCCTCAGGAAGAAAAGGTAAACGTAAAAGCTCTGTTAAATGGCTAAGAACTTAGACTACTTTAAGAGAAAGATAGCATAGTACGCTGATTAGGCTGTTTCCACCTTACACAACCAGGTTTAAGTGTCTTACAGTTCTAAGAATTAAGTGCAGTTCAATCTCAGGTTAGTTTGTTCATCTATTGTTCAGTGTCTTGTGATGTTTCCCGGGATGTCTAATCAATTGGAACAGCTTATTTCTGAAGTTCACAAAAGTGAATTCAAACATGAACTAAGAAAAGGACATGATTTGTTTTTCAGAGCCCTTTTTTAGACTGGGTTCATAATAATACATTTGATCCTTTCTCCCTAGCTCATTCAGGGAGATGGTATTTATTATAAAGTGTAAAACTGCTTTGTCCTGACACAGAAAACTAAGCATAGCACACCAGTGTGCTTTCAACTTTTACTTTCTCTTTTCCTAGGTTATCCAGAAAATCAGTGCTGTGGATAAAGATGAGCCATCCAATGGACATCAGTTTTACTTCAGCTTAACAACGGATGCAACAAATAACCACAACTTTTCATTGAAAGATAACAAAGGTAATGTATTAATATTGTTACTGATAGAGGCAGCAGGTCCAGGTACTCTAAGCAAGTATTTTTCTCCCTCAGGAATACTGATTAGGGATTTTTTTTTAAAAGCAAAGACATTAATTAAAGGGCAATGAGCACCTCAAGTAATTTTTATCTATGGATTTACTGTCATGAAAGAAAAGGTGCTATTTAACTTATTTTAGGCCTAAAGCCAAATAGGAGGGAAAGTTAGATTTTTCTTATTGTTTTCTTATAGGCACTCGTTTTTTTACTTGTGTATCAAGTTCATTATCCAAATAATATAATAAGTTGATGGTCAACTAAATACCCTAATAAGTACTATGCTCATAGATGCAACTTGAGACATAAGAGCTGGACATTACACACTTTAATCTAAATCAGCTTTGACTTAATGTTTTCAATAATAACAGCCCTTACTCTTTTATTTTTACATAAATGCAAATGTAATTCATGCAAATAGTAATAAAATAATAACATATTTATGAGCTAAGAAATATTAAAAATAACAAAATGACTCCCTCTCATGTCAGATTGTATTTCTCTGCTTCAAAGGTAAACAGTCTTAGCGGTTTCCTAAATATCATTATAGTAAAAAAACACTTACAAATACCGACAAGTAGATTTTAGTTTTGCATAATGTTATATATTGACAATTATGAGAACTTAAAGCATGAGAACCTGCTATCATTGTCTAATTTTGAATTATATATTTGTATGAGTTTTTATTCGATATTTTAGAGGAAGGAGAGCATTTGAAACTGACGTAGAGGGTGAATAGTACCCCCCAACAGCATGGAAAATACCTATTTTTAAACATTTATGTTGTTTATGTAAATCTGGTTTTAGGGAAAAATACAGAAGTGGATTTGCTAGTCAGTACTGGCTTGTTTAAAACACACTTACTACCAAAAGGTGGACAAGAACTTTTGCCTGAGGCCATCACCTTATTTAGTGCAACCTAGGCCTCAACAATTCAATCTGAAAATAATTTTTCTGGTCTTATTTCCTACTCAATGAGAATACTATTGTGTCCCTTTAGTAATATAAAAGGTAGAGCATTCTCTACATGGGTAACTCCAGACTCACTGACTTAAACATAGTTAAGAAGGATAATTCTCAGCATTTAGATTCGTCTGGTACAAATGCAGAGAAGGGAATTTATGACCTTCACAAGGAGAATGTGACTATATCGCCCATGTGTCATCATCCAATACCACCATGATTGCTGTAAAGCACGTGCACTAAAATGTCTGCATCTATAGGACATCCACATTGCCACACAATTGAAAAATTATCTACTTTAAGTCCAGAGCTCCCTTGACTGTACCTTGAATGAAAACATATGAATACAGAGAAAGTCAGTTCTTAAGAAGTCTTCCATAGGATCGCTTTTCTGAATATAGTCATATTCGCACTTTTTAGGCATTTCAGCTTGTGTTCCTCAATTGTGTGTGTGTGTGTGTGTGTGTGTGATTTTGATATCAGTCATGTTAGATTGCAAATCAACTTTCTAAAACTTTTTGTATCAAGTCATAAATGCATCTGACGTCTGAATTGGTAGGAGTCAAAGGCATAAGCCTGCATGCTATTGTGAAATGTACAGGAACTAACTGAAAACCATATCCTTCAACAACTCCAGCTTAATTTTTTATTGAATACCTTATCGAATTCATACATTTTAAAAGAAAAGATTTGTTTACATAAAAATCTACCAGATGGAATCTGAAAATCAAATCGTTTTATTACTGTCTCTTCTATAATTGCATGTAATACATTTTCTGCAGTCTAATATGAGCTTGCTGTTTTGTGCTGTTTGAGACAGATTTCATCTTGCTGTTTCACTACAGTACCATTAATTTTTTTATGCTATCATTGAATAAATCTTTTTGACAATTTAGAAGAGAGAAAAATATATAAAAGCACACTGCATGAAACTCTGATCCTGATTTTTCTTCTTTTCCTTTATATTTTTATTAATAGCTATTAATTTTAAAAATCTCATAAATACTCTAATTATTTAATTAAGACAAGTTATTTGGAAAACTGCTAACGGAGACAAAACATTTTTTATATATAAATCACACATGTTATAAAGACATTGATCACTTTTTTAAAGTTTATAATTACTATAATTGCTTAGATGAAATCAAATATTGAATACAAATTAAACATAAATGGCCTATTTTATCACTGACAAAATGTTTATACACATAGAGTAGCTATAAATACAAATATAGAATTTTTTAAATTTTACAATAAAATTATTCTGAATACCCCTCTATATTCAATTTAAATAAAGTTAAAATAGCTGATTTCACCCTTTTTAAATGTTGGTCTTGAAACCTGTCAAAAAAAGGATAGATTGAAAATTTTATCTGTACTATATGATGATGCTGCAAAATATTTAAGCTGTTAATATGTACCATCCTTTCTATAAGTTTATGGTGTAAAATCTAAGATAAGTAAAAAGGTGTAGTTTTTATAAAGTTGCAATTAATGTAATAAGTGATGCATAAACATTTTCGTATTTTGTTTTACTTTATAACTATTTCTTTTGTTATACTGTGTAGAATAACATAAGACTCTTATAATGTATTAAACTGGAAATGTCCCCCTGTCCCAGAGAACTCAAAGAAAATGGTTGAAATAAATCTGCAACTCCAGAGATTTGCCTAATTAAGGCATCAAAGAAAATAGAGTGACTTAAATAAAGTTTGGGAAGACTGATTCCATCAGAAATCTTGTGTTACACATTTGCTTTCGTTATCCTAGACAACACAGCCTCAATATTGACCAGGAGAAACGGCTTCCGGAGACAGGAACAATCGGTTTACTATCTGCCAATTTTCATTGTGGACAGTGGATCTCCTTCACTTAGCAGCACCAACACCCTCACCATCCGCGTGTGTGACTGTGATGCCGACGGTGTAGCCCAGACCTGCAATGCAGAGGCCTATGTCTTACCTGCTGGCCTCAGTACAGGAGCCCTGATAGCAATACTCGCCTGTGTCTTGACATTGTTGGGTAGGTACTGTTTCCAGGGCTTGCTCTGAAAGAGCTGTCACAATAACCATGTGTCACGACTTGCCTATTTTCTTCTCCATTTGGTGAACATATGCAGACATTCTACTAGATGGTGTTTGTTTTGTTTTGTTTTGTTTTGTTTTTCTTTGAGATGGGGTCTCACTCTTTTGCCCAAGCTGGAGTGCAGTAGCAGGATCTTGGATCACTGCAGCCTCTGCCCCTCAGGTTCAAGCAATTCTCCCACCTCAGCCTCCTGAGTAGCTGGGATTACAGGGGTGCACCACACCCAGCTAACTTTTGTATTTTTAGTAGAGACGGGGTTTCACCATGTTGGGCAGGTTGATCTTGAACTCCTGACCTCAGGTGATCCACCCGCATTGGCCTCCCAAAGTGTTAGGATTACAGGAGTGAGCCGTCACTCCTGGCCTGGATGGTGTTTTGCTCACTAAGTGATACAATTGTTGGCCACACTTTCCAGTGGTATATTTAAAGTATAACTCAGACAAAAGTTCTATCAATTTCATTTTCAAAACAACAGTGAAGATAAATGGCTTATGCTTTAAATTAATGTTTTTTAAGATTAAAAAGAATCTATCTTATCCCAGTTCTTTGCTTTAGAGCACTCGACAGAGGAGATACACTAGACTGGACAATACATTTTCTATATTGTTTTGATATTATGCTTACTTTAGAAATTATGGCTTTATATTCTACTTTTTAAAGAAAATATTTAAGATGGCTTTCTTAAATAATTTGCAAATTTGAAATGATTACAATTTCAGCAATGCAAATGTTATATTTTTAAAGTATTAAATATTAACACATTTAATTGTACATTTCTATGATTACTTTATTACTCGGTTAAATTCAATTTATAACTCATGCTTGCAGGAACTCAGATTTTGCAGCATCCTTTTAAAAATTGGGAGACGTCTAATGTGGACATTGGGTAATAGGTTCATTCCAAAGCAACATTTTTCTTCTCAATGTAACTGCCTGTAACACAGACAACAAGCACTTAATATGTTACCTGAAACTATACTCTGTGTTTTCTTGGGTTTTAATAGAATTAGTGAATCCACTTATGACATTTTTATATAACAGCATTTACAATGATAGTCACCATTGTATAATGTTTAAAAACTAGATTTCTGGATTTAGATAAACTGAGCTTTTACTTCTGCCTGCAACATGCACTCCTTCTTCCCAAGGTTAATGTTAATCCTTCAGTAGCTGGTTAATTAACCTAAAAGTGAAAAATAACCAAACTGAATTCATAAGATTGTTGTGAGAATTAAATCAAACAATTCATATAAAGAACAGAGTAAACATTCAATATACCATATAGTGAACGTTCAATAAATTTTAAGTGTTACTGATGGCAAATTATCAGCTAAGACCCGTTTACCAATACATTATAAATGCTGTCATGAAAATAGAGGTTATTGTCTTAAGTAACTTAAGCTAAACAAGTAAATCTAAAAGAAAATAAACTGTATTTTGCATAGAACTTGACACAGATGCAGAAACTTTCAGAATTAGAAATGGAAAGTAATTACCTGCTAAATCTAATTAGAATCTAAGGGATTAAATTTTGAAAAAGGTAGAACCACTGCAAACAACTTTTTATTAGTCTAGAAGCTTCTAAAACAAACTTGTCCAACCTGTGGCCTGTGAGCCGCATGCAGCCCAAGATGGCTTTGAATGCGACCCAACACAAATTCTTAAAACATTCTTAAAACATAATGAAATGTTTTCTGTTTGTGTGTACTTTTTTTTTTTTTTTTTTCTTGCTCATCAGCTATTGTTAGTCTATTTTATAAGTGGCCTAAGACAAGTATTCTTCTTTCAGTGTGGCCCAGGGAAGTCAAAAGATTTAAATTTTGGAACCTAAAACGTAATAAAAAAGATGTAAATTGCATATTTATTTTATAGTAGCAGAATAACCTACATTAGAAGATTTAAAAATTCCATCCATGTTTAGAATGTCTTTAGCTTGAAGGCACAGAATCAGAAAGAAGAATGAGAGGACAAGTAGATGATGTGTGGAAGACTTTTTAAGTTTGGTCAGTTTATCATAAACAACTTAGATTATGCCTTAAAGGAATAAGATTGTATTCCCCCAATTTTAATGATCCTCAATACTGAATTGATTTTTTATTATTTTAAGGCTGTCTGATGAAGCTTGCTTCACTTTAGTAATACTTTCACCTTTAAATTTGGGTTTTTTTTGCGATTTAGGTTGCTTGATGATTCTAATTAAAAATTATCAGCTAATTATTACTGAAAGCCACTGAAATAGAGATTTATTAGATTTCATTATTAGATATACTATATACAAGTATACATATACAGTGTGTGTGTGTGTGTGTGTCTGTGATACAAGTATACATATACAGTGTGTGTGTGTGTGTTTGTGTGTGTGTCTGTGCATAAAGGTTTGAGGGATTTTGTCAGAATTTAAGTATGGCTACGCTTTCTGCTAAATTTGAACATATTGCTTAAGTAGACACCAAATTTGGAATGCCTCTTCTACTTCTAAGGATCAATTTTTTTGTGCCCTATATTTTATTCATTTCTTAAGAGTTACTTCAAGTCTCCAAAACCTTAAGTAAAACAAAGTCTATTGTACTGAAATACAGTTTGGAACAAGGGACTTCTGCCTGCAGCTTCCATTTCTATAGTGACCGCACAATAATCAGTATCATCAAATGCTAGCATTTTAGCTCAGAAATGTGGTCTCTTTGTGTCTTATTTCCCAAGTTTTTAAAAGCAGATAATCAGGAATTTTTAGACGTTTTTAGTTTTGTCACCAGTATTGTAGACTCTGGATTTTCACACAGTAAGTGCTGAAGTCAATGAGATTAAGTATTCACAGGGGGTGCAAGTGAGGCCTGCAGCCTGGCATGAAAATGGAGTTCTAGTACACAATTCATTCTTTATGACACCTCAGAAAGTGGTGTGAATCTCATTTCTAGGCATTAGGTACCAGGATTTGTAACTCAAACCTTTTAAGACTTCCGAACAAATATTACTAGGAAATAGCAAGGTGAGGAGGTGGAGATGGGAATAACAACTTGAAAATCAAGTTCAGTTAAGAATGAAACTATAGAGTACCTGGACTTTAGGCTCTTAAAAAATAAAAGCACTTGACTACGTGTTAAGTCTGTATGCCAGTGATGTGACAAATTAAAGCTACTTGTAACATGATGGATGGGGATGCACTGACGTTACCGGAAGTTTAATGCTGGAAGGCATCCCAGGTATCGATGCTAACCCAAACCTTACAGAGGGAGAACTTGAGGTATAGGGTGGGTTTGAGGATTTGTAGGAGTACAGTTAGAGGATATGATGGGATAAGATTCTAGGTCTCCTTATTCTCAATCACTGATTTTTATTAAACTGCACAAAAAATACATCTTGAAAATATAAAAATGTTTACTCCTATATATTGCTGAAATAATTCATGTTACCTGAAGTTGTATTTGTCAGTCTTCATCTCTATCCGTATTCTTCTAACTTTGTGGATGAACTGCTTTCTAATTTCTCATTCTTGCTCTCACCTCTCTCTCTAATTTATTTGCACCTGAATTCTCTAAATGAAAAAAAAAATCCAAAACTTAGAACATGGGATTACTTTATTTACAGTGAGTACAGTTTGAATGAAATACATTATTTCTATATTCACATTTCATCATAAAATAATCAATTAGATGCCTCAATTATTTTTCATGCAGAAAAAGTCCATCAGTATAGGGCAAGATATTCTGGTATTCTAAATTTTGAATAGAAATTACAACCCATGTGTAACATCAATACTAATTTAATTATGCATTTTTAATCATAGTTAAATTCACACTTACAGACATACACAGTTATTCTTCTACCAGGCTAAAAATACTTTAAAGGAAAAAAAAATCTATGAATGACTAAGACATTAGATTATTCAGTAGAGTTTTTTAATAAAGGGGAAGAATTTCAGCTGTTTTGTTTAAAAATATGGTTTCAATATTAAATATTGTACTCCTATTCTGAAAATATTACAGCTAAATTTTTTCTGTTCCTCCGCACACACAAAAATAAAACCTGTTTCTTGCACAATAAAGCTGCCACTGAATTTACTATATTAAGTTTTGGGTGTTTCTGTACTTGGACTTCGAGGTCGCAGTAATTGAAGTCCTGTAGCATTCCTTCCAGCTCTTTGCTCTTCTGAAACAATTGGAATTAGTTAGACCAGCCCAACTTCATAAACTCAGGTTTAATAAGGTGTTTGTAGAAACTTGCTGTTCACTGCGTGGGATTCAGTCTCTTCCAGTATGTCTATGATGGTCAGCTTGACAGTTAGCTGTCATGCATCTTTTCACTTTTCTTCGCTGATCTCCCAAGTACTAAACTATATTTGGTCACCAGTAACTGTGGCTATTCATGACTTTTTTCCAACAGAAAAATACTTTCTTGTTTTTGCAAGTGATAGTGAGCATTACTGAAGGAAAAAATACGTTAAATTGCATAGAAAAAAAAAGTGGTAGCTCTATGTAAAAAAAAATTGATCCCCATCATAATCTATAATGATAGAACATAATTGGCATAGCCGCCCTAGAGATAATAATGTGCAGACTACAGTTGGCTAATTTATGGTAGCAGATGTGTTCCTCTCTCAAACAAGCATGAGTATAATAAAAAATGAATTGCATTTCATAAGCCTGTACTATGTGCTAAACATCAGCCTAAGTGCTTTACAAGCATTATCTAATTTAATGCTCATAACAAATTTCCTAGGCAAGTATTACTATGCCCACATTTTATATAAGAAGACTACAACTTAGAGGAAATACACAAAAAGTTATAGGGCGAACGAGTGTCAGAGTCAGGACCCAAACACAGGGAAGCCTGCCTCCTAAATGTTCTTTATAAGGTATTTTTGCATATGTGTTTCCCCATGTGAAAGAACCCTCCATTTCTAGGAAATGCCAATAGGTCTGTGGATATTACAGCCTGGGCACTGCCAAATTAGGTGCAAGAGTATCTTTGCTGTGTTTCACATAGTGGCTTTATTATTTATCCAGTTAACTCTGAGTATCTTCCAATTCCTTCCAGTCTTTAGAAAACACATTTAGAAGGGTATATGTTAAATTTGAGGTTATATTCCAGTACAACCAAAATCTAATACACAAATTGTCT